ATATTTACTTTATTGAATAAATTAAAGAAAAGTATTTTTTTTGTCAAATTTTATATATAAATTTGGGTGAGTCAACTTATTTGATTTATATTTGACAATGTTTTGAACCCCTTTAAGGGAACATGTCTCATTAGAGTGTGCTGGCAGAATATGTAGATCAAAAATATATGTAAACTATTAATAAAATTATTAGTAACAGATTTTTTTTGGATTTAATGATTAAGACAGTAATCAAAGCATTTTATCACTTTTATATAAGTTTTAAATAGTAAAAAATGATATGAATATTTTTAGATGCAAAAAGAGAATTATGCAACTTTTTTTAACAATCTTTACACAAACTCATACTTAAATATATATATAACAAAGTTACGTTAAAAGTTTCTTATATTGATATTTAAATTTTGAACTAAACACTTTGTGAAAAATCAGGTTTATCTCACATGCTATTAAAAAAAACTTGATTCTTTCTGGCTAGTAAAGTTTTGACTTAAACATAAAATTTTTTAATATAACTTTGTTCTTCTAAGAAAGTTACTAATATTACTAGTTTTAGTTGCTTGAAACAGGATGAATTTGGGTCTCTATATCTAAATTTAGCAATCTATAGTAAATTTGCCAAAATGGGAATTTACAAATCATATAAGCGATATTATCAAGCTCGACAAGCAGCTCAAAAAAGTTTAGAGAAGAGTCAAATTGTCTCTCAGAATAAGATGATTGCAGAAATACAAGACTTATTATTTGATTTAAACCAAGAACAACTTGCAGATATTCATAAAATATTAACAGAACTTTCAAACAATAAAGTTGTTAATAACAAAATTTTACGTGATCAAATTGAAGAACAAGAAACTTCACATAGCGATGGAATTTCAAAAGAGGAATATCAAAAAAACAAATTAATCTCTTTAATTCAACAACTATCTAATAATAAGATATGTGCTACAAATCGCCTTATCACAAATATGCATTATTCAAAAGGGCCTGATAAAGTCAAACTTCTATCTCCATATTTTCAAAAAAAGGCACATAATTATATTTCTGATAGTCTTTATAAATCCTATTCATCAAATAAATTATTATGAAATGCAAATAATAGGCTAATATTGGAGAATAAAAAGCTTTTCCAACAAACTAAAAAATTAATTAGAAAAACAAAATCACTTAGGGCACAAAAAAAAGTTTTACATAATCAAAAATTACACCATATTTCAGAGATCAGTTCTTTGGTTCAAAATTCACAATCAATGACAAATACTGTATTTAAAAACAGGATTAAATCTCTTTTCAAAATTAATAAGTGTGAATATTCATCTAATACTATTTGGCTTGCTAGTAGTATTTTACAAGTAGGAAGTATGTTAATGAAATCTACAATTGAGTATACAAAAATTATTTATAAATTCTTGATTGGCGAACCTCTTCAAAATTGGATATCAACTTCAACTCTCCGTACATGTCATCGCGATGTTTCAAATTTTTATCATACAACACAAATTTCTCAAATTAAACGAGTACTAGCTTTCAGAATTATGGTCGATGAATCTACTCATAGCAAAATAAAGAATTTAGTTATTTGTTATCAAGCTTGGGATGAGCAAAAACAAGTTCTATCATAATAATGACTCATCTTAAAAACATTCTTAGGTGTAATAGTAAAACTGTATCTAATATTGTAATTGAATCAATTCAAAATGAAGGCCTTTATATTATAAAATGTATAGTGTAAACTACAAACAATATGGCATACATGTTATCTAATAAAAAGGGTGCTGTTTCTCTTTTTATTAAAAAAACTGAAGCACATATAGTTCAAGTTGTCTGTAGACTTCGTATTATGCAAGTGGTGCTTGATTATTTTTAACGAGAGGTATTCAGAATTGTGTCAACTATAGTGGCTCGAA